CGCTGGGCTGGATGGCCCCTCTGTGATGTATATAGTGATCTCAGGATGCTGTGTATGTATATGGATTTTCCCTGGGCTGGATGGCCCCTGTGGTGTATATAGTGATCTCAGGATGCTGTGTATGTATATGGAATTTTTTGTGCACGAGGGCTGGATGGCCCCTCTGGTGTATATAGTGATTTCAGGATGCTGTGTATGTATATAGATTTTCTGTGCACGAGGGCTGTGGATGGCCCCTGTGGTGTAGATAGTGTGGTTGCAGGATGCTGTGTGTATGTATACAGATTTTGTGTTGTGTAGTGTGTACATAGTTTTCTGACCGCCCTTTTTGCCGAGTAGGTGTTGTGTGCAAAACTTCGCAATCTGTGTGCATGTGAGAAGCCATTCTGGATCAAGTGGATAGGAAATGGGACAAACGCAATCCGAAAATTCGGACTGTCTGCCCACAACACAGAGCATGTCGAAGCTGGCGGCGGCATGGGGAGAACAAGTGAAGCCTTCCGGGCGCCATGGAGCCGATCCAGGAGGACAAGGCAGGTTCAGGAATTATATGTAGGGTTTATTTATAAATCCTAAAAACCCTAAAAACCCTAAAAACCCTACAGGTGCCATCCAGTTTCGGGACCAGATGCGAGGAATGTGGCGGCAAGCGAGGGAGAAGAAGCTGCCTGGTGATGGCTCGACAATGGAGTATGGCGAATTCGTTGCGAAGACGGTGGTGCTGTGCGGGGAGTTGTACGGTAAGCAGAAACCAACGCCCCAATCCGACAGGAACTTTTTGAAAGAGTGCTGGGAGGAGGAACAGAACAAGACCAACAACAATCTCAGCTTCGAAGACTTCCTCGCTTACACGGTGGACAGCTTCGTGGAGCAGGAGGCAAACAGGCTAGAGGAGCAGGGCATGGACGAGGAAAAGGGCAAGGACACGGACAAGGGCAAGGACACGGACAAGGAAAAGGTGAAGGAGGATATCCCGTGGAGAAAGCATCCACCACCATTGCCAATGCCACCAAGTGACCGTGCCCGAGGACTGTGTGTACAACATACATTTTTATCTGTTGTATTTTATGTGAAAAGTATGCCCCCGCACACGGCACAGAACATTGCAGGATCCTCGGATGGTGTGGCTGCCGGATCCTCCTCGGATGGTGTGGCTGCCGAGAAGACCGTAATGAAGGAAGAAGTGGATTATTCCGATGACCAGCCACCAGGACCATGGGGTGTGTGTGTGTGTGTATAGTAGTATATAGTATATCTAGTAAAGTTATACAGACGCACGCACATATGTATGTATATATATATATATACACTTATAAAAGCTTTTTGTGACTTTGCCAGGAAACTGGGGAGAAGTTCCGGAGCCAACTCCAATGGAACAGGATTCTGACGACACTGAAGGACCGGGATAAACACTGTATAGTCATAGTTTGAGTTTTTGTGTCCGATGCTCGTGTCCACAGGGCCCGACGACAGCCGATTGGGCTGGATGGGGCCGGACAATGATGATCCGACCCAAAGACCTTCGTGGGCTGAACAGAGCGAACAAACAGCAACGGAGGACCCGCCTGTGGCCAAGCAGACCCCGCCATGCAAGCAGCAGGATCACGAAATGAAGGCGGAGCAGCCCGAGGAGCAGCATCAGGGGCAGCAGCAGGAGCAGCACGCATACACTCGTGAGCTTTCAATGTGACTTGAACTACTCGAGGCAGCAGGGGGTGCAAGCCAAAGACTTCCAAATCTTTGGAGAAAAACCGGCGGGTCAACAACCCCCCCTTGCGCAATGTGACGCCTCAACCGAGCTCTTTGAACAAATGTTAGTAGACCTGTTCGTTGCTCGATTGCCTCAAGTTTTGCACGGGCGGAGCGCCAGTCTGGATCGTCACTGTCCCCGAATTCTTCATCTTCAGGAGGATGGTCTTCCGGACCTCCGCAGCGAGTGCCAGCTACTGGCTCTGACCCTCCCCTTTGGTTCCTAGCCCTAGGTGGGTCCTGCGCGTGTTGTTGTGGTTGAAGAACAGGTCGAGAGGTAAGCATCTCTCTTGATCTACTGGGGGCAGCAGCCATGTCTGTGTAAAGGTAAGCGTGGACGGCATCAGATTTCCAACCCCCGAAACGCTTAACAGTTTCCACATCGCTGGTTACAGCAAGCATGGCGGTGGCGCCTCCCGTCCTTAGACTATGTGAGGCAACCAGGTGGGCAGGATACCCAAGGGCAACCGCGGCCAGACGAAGAGCGTCTGAAACCCCTTCACGAGAGATTCCGAGAGATCCCTACACCTTTCCAAGCACAAAGCGGAAGGCCAGTATCCTGGACCCAATGCGGGCTAAGTCTGGCATGCTCTTGGAGGGCCTTAACCGGGCAAATTTCGTTTCGTCTCCGGTAGAGTGCTGGAGTCTAACCTGACCCCGCCCAAACTGGTCGCCTTTTGAGTCTCTGAGCTGGACCGCTAGGGCGTCGGCTTCCGACACCACGCATTTTCTGCCGTCGCGGAAGAAATTCAAGTCGCTGCCTCTTGACACCCGAGCGGGAGCACTGAGGACGTCAGTCCCAGGGAGGTACTCCGATGCCCGAAGCATGTAGAACCAACCAAGACAAAGGGAGGCCCACATCGCAGCTTTCTCTTCGGCGGGACGGTTCGACCCTTGCAGGTACGCCCTCTAGCCAAGACAGCATGCGAGGAGTAACGGGGACTTTACGCACTGGTGCGCCATCCCACCTATGCATCCCAGCCAGTGCGGCCCATAAACGCACCCTGCCGGCCAAGGGGTCTGCGTAACCAGCAGCAATGTGCGCGTACCTGATACCTGAAAGACGCTGTTTGATCCCTTGGGCGATACGACCCATGTGTTGGTGCAGAAAGACAACGAAGCGTATGAGCCATTCCTCATCAGCCTGCTTCTCGGCACGCGTCTCACCTTGCAGGAAAGGCGGAACGCTTGTGCCCGACATGAAGGAAGCCCATTGTTTGCAACCAGCTCCATATGATCTTCGAGTGGAGTCGGCGAGCTTGCTGAGGACAGCTTCTTGACCGGTCTGATCCAGCTGAGTGAGGAGATTTTCGGCAGGGAGGCCACAACTGTCTCAAAGAATCGTTCTCGTTCTTCACCCAGCAAGACCGGGGTGACGAGTTTCCGATCTTCGGGATTCCTAGATTGGGCGGAACGCCCCCCTACCAGGGAGTCCCCAGCGTCAGTCCAGAATGTGGGCTCGGCCTGGGGAGCTGTGTCAGCAGCCGAAGGAAGAAGTTCCAGCCATTCTCTTGTTGGGCGTTCAGGGTTGCGCTTCCAGGCGGTCCAGGCTTCCAACCAGACCTCCAATTGCTGACGCGCCGACTCCTCCTCAGGGTCGAGACAATTTCCAGCCTTGCCTTGATCTTCTTGCCAATTGCCAAACACCGTGAGCCGAGGGCCTCCTCTTGACCTAGGGAATCGACCAATTCTCTCCAATGAGCTGGGGTGAGACCCTGGGCTCGGGCAATCCCCTTGACATCCCGCGTAGGGCCCACAAAAGCGCAGGCGGGGCACGTGGTTTTGTGAACTAGGCACTTGGGCGGAACGCCAGGGCCCTTGAGGTGCCGCAACCACGGGTCTCCAGTCGTGATGATGCCGTCGAGCGGGATCATCTGCATGGAAGGTGGAGGGTTAGCGCGGTACCGATCCAACTGGGTCGGAGGCGGTGTGGTGTCTTTCCAACCGAACACCAACGCGCGTCTACGTGCCGTTACGGCGCCGAGGTGTGAGCTGATATAGCGGCACGATTCGATGCTCGGGAAATAGTCAACAAGCAACTTCTCCAACCAGTGGATGTCGAATTGCCGAGGGCAGTCGACCACCAGCTTCTGCAAGCGGGAGCTATCCCCCCTCAGAACCTGCCTAAGCCGTTTCCGCTCGCGCCCGGTAGGGTCCTGAGAGAAAGTGAACCACGCATAGGGTTGGTCCCCTGACTCCCAAACCTGGAAAAGACGCTCTCTGGGTGGTCTTCAACATGCAGAGGTTGCCACGCCACCCGGAGGCAGACCTGCTATAAAGACTTAGGCGTCCTTTTGGCTGGCTGTGCCAGCTGCCTCGCTGTCTGCCCCTGTGGGTCCTCCCCGGTGGGATAGACGAGAGCGGAACGCTTGGCATCCTGCAAGAATTGCTCCCAATGAATCGAAGTGTCGACTTCAGTCCATCCTTCCGCAATGAGCTCCCTACGGACAACAGCGAGATCTTCCCGACTATAAGCCAATCGGCGAGTTGATTTCGATAGGTCCGGATATAGACAGGACGGACAGTGAAATTATGTTCAGATTCCAGCCTCTGGACTAGCCGGACAAGGAGACTGGCAGCCCGTCTTCACGTTCATGTTGTCGGTGACATAGAGAACAAGTTCCCCTCCCCAGTCGCCCCTGCGATGACAGGCTAACACAACGAAAGCTAGGAGCTCCATCACTGAGATGATGTCAGTCTCATCCCCTTCCCTAGCAAGCTTCCTCAAGCCCTCGCGGTACTGGTCCACCCTTTCGGCGTGGAATACTTGTGCCTTCCGCTCCAATCCGTTCCAACGTGGCGTCACCACCCGTGACCCTAGCCCGGGCGGTGACGCCTGGTAGAGCGAGTCGCTCCCGGATCGGCAAGAGCTTCTCAAACACTGAAGTGAAGCTGCATTGCAATGGAGCTTCAAGCTGAAGGCGGATAAAGTCGAGGGCATCCCAAAAGTCTTCCCAGCGACGATCCTCTTCCTCCGGTCCTGACGCCTCAACCTGGACCAACGCTCCTTTGTCCCCCTTAACTCCTTTATTCTTCCGCTGCCCTGCAGATTAACCTTGAGCAAATAGTAAGGGCGGGACAGGCGACAGTCCAATATTGGGCACAGCCAATCAGTTCTTGCAGGAGTCGCAGGGGAACCTCTCGGCAGCCTCTCTGAAGGGCGGACTCACCAAGGAGATACTTCGCTTTAATCCTTTTAGGTTCCGGTAACCTGACCTCCTGAAGGTCGAAGTTCATGTGTAGCCCCCAGAGAAGCTGCGTAGTGGAGGGCTCTCCTTCCTCTGCCATTTTTTCAACATTGACCCCCTCAGGGCCCCATACGAGCTGCATGGTCTCATCAAGAACCGCGAGTGAGTCGAGCACTCTGTTCCCAACCATGGGTTCCACCACCACACCATCATCCAAAAGCCATTTCGACTCGAATGGAACAACATCATTGAACCTGGGCTCCATTGGTCGGAACGACCCATGATGTGCCTTCGCGGCCGCACTCCATGCAACAAACTCTCCGGGCGATCCCACCCAACCAAATGGCATCGCAAGGCTGAGAATAATAAGCCCTGCGAGCTTGACGGCAAACTCTGGGACGTCCTTGGCGCGCAAGAAATGCCATTTGAAGGCTCGGGGGACATCTCGCTTAGCACACTTCTGCGGTATGCCGGGGTGCCTGGCCCTCCACCAAAGGGATTGTCGGGCCACCGCATGGTGCCTGGGCTGTGGAGCCGGGAAATGGTTGAATTTCGAGCCGGCCTCGTTTTGCCTGCACATGTCATTTATGGGTCGGCCCTCAGCAGATATCGTCCTGTCGGGATTCTGCTTCGGGACCCGTCCCAGTGGGCTCTCAGAGACCCCGGCCTGGTCAAGGAGCTGGCTCACCTTACCGTCGTGCGGGTCAACGAACAGGGCAGCTCCATATGCGGCGTCTTTCCAAGTTTTTTGGAGGAGCTCCTCTTCGTATCCGCAGACCGAGCCATGGTGTTTTTGCTTCCTCTCTGCTGAGGGGCTTTTCTCTCCGGCTCGGAACTCCTTCATCAGCACAACTGTGGAGGTACTCCTGGAGAGCCTTTCGCTTGGCTCCCTCGAGGTGGTCTCCCAGCTTTTGAACCCGGTCTCGACTGTCCCGGCCGAGGAAATCAGTCCAGCTCCTAGCTTACCAGCCTGCTGGGCTTTCTCCACAGTGCAGGAAGATGCACACAGGTCGAGACAGCTTTCGCATACAGGCCCCCCCGCAGGGAGGGAGGGAGGGAGGGGAGCCGCAGGCCGAGGGGAAGACGCGCAGGGCGGATTCGCCTCCAAGCATCCATTTACACCAACCTGAAATCGCTACTGGGTCCGAGCAAACCGTGGCCCATGCAGCGAACCTCTCCAAACCGGCCCAAAGACCTTGGGAGACACACCACCAGCCAGGTGCGCCCGAGGAGCGTGCTCGCGGGATGATGCGCAAGTGCAACCCACGCAAGCGCTGCGCAGTCGAGGCGTCAAGGGCTGGAACAACCACAAACAAGGTCCACGTAGGGTGGCCACCAGGCAATCAACAAGCATCGTCCAATCGAGCTTTTCCCCAGAAATCCCTTCAAGCCACAGAATCCAACAGTCAGATGGCAGAGTTGGGTCTTGCTGGGACATGGCCCAGGTGCCCCGCGCTTGTAGGCCACCGTCTATTCCCGGCAACGGCTGTACCGTAACCGGGCGCAGAGCTCCCAGAACGAGTCCATCCCCGAAGCTGGCACGAACAAGGAAAAGCGTCTGGGGCGGTGACGCCAAGTGTACTTAGCTCTGTGGCTGGGCAAGCCGGGTCACCGACATCGTCCTCTTCGATGCCAGCCTTACACCGGTAGCAGGGGTGAGGTTTAGAGGGTATGATCTCCCCCGAGGCATCTTGTGCCTCCAGGAAGCTGCCCCACCCCTCAACCTCAAGTTCGCGGATAACACGTTCACCGCGCGTAGCAATTTCCAGGAGCTGCTTGATCTGCGCGGGGGTGCACCGTGCGGTCCGCATGTGCCCCCTATGTATGACAACCAGGCCGTACCCCTCAATAGCCCCAGCTCCCTTCACCGTGTCAACCTCCACGACCCCGTGGTGTGAGAGACGAAGAACCACAAGGATACGTCCCCTCATGGATCGCCTGGCGAACAAGTGCAGAACACGGAAATCTTTTTCGTGATCCGGGTAAATACAGTCATGAGCGTTATGCCGCACAAACGCTTCAGCGGTGCTAATGTACGGGCTTGCATCTCCGAGATGCTGGAAGGCTGCACTACTGTCCTCCCAAAGCTCCCTCCGGAGATCTATTGCTTTTTCCCCCGCCGAAGAAGCATCAGGCTCGAAAGCAAGAGCGACATGCAAGCACAAGCGCTGACGTGATTCCTCCGAAGCCTCTGTGCTAAGCTGGAGCATTGCCCGGAGATCGCGATGTCAAGTGGCGGGACGCCTTCCCAGCGTGGATGACTGAAAGTCAGCTGGGTCTTGCCGATTCCTTCTTCCCAGTCGAAAGACCCAAAACCCGCTTCGGGTTCTGGGAGCGTCAGACCTGCCTTAACTCCAATTGACGCCAAGACCTGTTGTGCCGCTGTGCCTCGTCGGCGAGTTGAGGATGTCCGTAGTCAACAGCTTGTGTCAGAACTTCTGAAAGTTGAACCTGTCGCCCCTGTAGCTCCGCATTGACAAAGTGCGCCGCGACATGTGAATGCAAGTGATCGCTGCAACCAGAAATAGGCTCAAGACGCTTACTAGCAAGGAGCTTATCATAGGCAGCTTTCCGCTGGTGGGCTTCGTCAGTCTTCGCCTGCACAGCTGTAACCTCCGCTCCACTCAAAGTCAGGGCCCTCAGCAAGCTTCCCAAGCTCCTGCTCAAGTTGCGTGACAGGCCCCTGGTAATCCTCGGGGACCGCCCAACCGGCTTTGTCCTTAGCCTTGGCTTTGGGATGAGCCTTTGCTTTGCCTTGGGCAACTCTACCATCCACTTCCTGAGGGTTGACCTTAGGACCGGCGACAGTATAATCAAGCTTGGAAAGCTTCGGAAGGGGTTCATGGGCATTGGGACAAGAACCTCGATGACAACCAATGTGACAGGCAGCATCCCAGCATATTGGCTTCTTAGTCTTAGGGCACTGCGGGGCATGCTGGACTGATCGCTTCACTTCGGCCGGACTGAGGCCTTTCCCGGCAGGATAGGCTTTGGATGCTTCTCCTGTCTTCTGAGGGTCAGTCCTCAGTGCCAGCCTAGGGGCTCGTCCATCTTTAATTTATCGGCTCCCTCAGCACCCTGAGACGGAACGTCTCCCTGATCGGCCGCCGGGGCATCGGTGGGCCCTGCAGTCTTACGATGATCATGGCGTTTCTCCTTCGTGACATGGTCATGCAGCTGCTTGTTCAGAAGCCTAGCCATGGCCTTGTTCTGTCGGGGTAGGATCACCCGTTGATAATTCAGCCAAATCCCAAACTCGGGGAAATTGGAAATTGGCCTGTCCAGTTGAGCTGGGGGCAAGAGCGAGTCCGTAGGCACTCCCAAAGACCTTGATCGAGTTCTCGGCATATCGCAGCCAGGTGAGGAATGTAGTGGGAGGCTTGCTACGTGCTTCAATCTTATGCTCGGTCGGTGGCGACCAATTTTCGATCTGCTCAACCTTTGCAGTCGCGCAATCGGAGGCTAACAAAGTGAAGTTCTCCGTTCCGCCCCACCAAAGCCCAGCTATTGACAAAGCGACGCGATTGGTAATCAGAACTGGCCACTTAATCAGGCCGAGTTCATGCTTTGCATGAAGCCCGGCTCGCTTGATGCTGTGGAATTCGAACAGCGTACACATCTTAGCAGAGCTCGATCGAGAGCTGTCCGCATCCCCGTGCCAGGAATACGTCGAGCTTCTCGCCTTCCTTGATGGAGCTGACCTGCCCCTTGGTGCCAGTCTTGTCCTCGTCCTGTGCCTTGCGCAACCCGTCAATGGCATGGATGATACGATCCCTAGCGAGAGTGGGATTGCTGGCGCCGAGCTGTTCCCCAAAGGAGGCACCGGCCTTGCGCACAAGACCTTGGCAAAGACTGAATGCGGTCGAGTTGGAAGCAAGGGTGCCAGCCGCTGCGCTTACAAGGCTTGGGCGGTTCTCGGACCCGGATGGCGGGAACAGCTGTGCTACAACGTTGGGCGGTCCGCCTCCTTGCGTCAAGAATTGATTCTCAGGTTGCGGAGTGCGAGCCTGGACCAAGCTTCCTTCTTGAGTGAGCCCAGGGGGGTGAGGAGGAGGCGGTGCTTGGACACTCAACTGATTATAAGCGAGTCTCGGGCCAAGCGAAGTGGGATCATTTGCGGGTACCGCCGATACTCCCTCTTTTGCTTGGTTGCCTTCCAGGGCTCCCAGGACGCTCAACTGCACAACTTCGGGTCCAATGTTGTACGCGCTGGAGACCAACGCTATGCACTCGTACCGAGGTACGAGGTACGACAGTGTA